CACGGCTGTCACTGGCAATTAGGTCACCTTGTTTACTATTTGGGAGTTCTTCATGGTTATATCAATGTCACGGGGATTTAGGAATGGACACGTCAAATGCAAATTTAGCTAATTGTTCCAGTGTTTCCAGTTGGAATGTCTTTGTGCCGGAACCAACAGGGGCATAGAAATAAAGGCAGACATACGGAAAGGGGAGCTAGAGAGTGACGTTAAATAGATAGGAAGTCATGGGTGAGCTACATACAATAGCAAAGGTTAGGACGAACTGGCGTGAGTTGGTTGAGGGCATATTGACGAGGGGGGGGGGGGGGGGGGGTCGGATATGATGTGAAAGGCAGCAAAAGAATACACGTACTCTCATACCCACTGTCTTGAAGCCGCCAGTCTAAGAAGCAGAATTAGTTCTATTTTCACTTCTCTAGCTTTTTGAACAGTGTCCTCAGAATGAATTTGGCATTGCCTGTGAAGATGCCCATATTATTCTTTATTAATTTCTAGTTAAATTTGATTTCTTACTGTTCTCACAATTATCATCAGTTACAACCTTCTCAATGACTTATCTTGTGATCATATTCTGATGTTGGCATTGTCTGAAAATTTGACACATTTTTCTGTACTAATTTCTAGTTAAATTTGATTTCTCACAATTATCATCAGTAACAACCTTCTCAATCGACTTATCTTGTGATCATATTCTAATGTTGGCATTGTCTGAAAATTTGACACATTTTTCTTTACTAATTTCTAGTTAAATTTGATTTCTCACAATTATCATAAGTAACAACCTTCTCAATCGACTTATCTTGTGATCATATTTTAATGAATCTGGTTTATATGGTACTGTTATAAAGATAAAAGGCATAGACATATTAGAGATGAACAGAAAATCCCCAAACAGGCACTTTCAATTCCAATTCCTTTTTTAAAATAATCAAAAAATCAGCCATGTTCAAGCTGCTGCTAGCTAGCCGAAGCTGCCAACAGTCTTCGGCTATATTTGTGGTCTTGTTGATTTGCACCACTTTCGTGGCTAAAGTTCTGGTATTTGTGCCGTCTCTGGGCTTAATGCTTCTTTCCTCTATGTCAGATCGCTCATTCCCCATCCTGTGTTGTTCTTGCTCTTTCATTTCTGATGTTTCATCCTTGGTTTTAGCTCCTCCTTGGTTTTAGCTCCTCCTTGGTTTTAGCTCCTTCTGATTTGACCAACATAACGTCCACAAGAAACCCTACAGTGTACACTGATGAGAGAAGCCAGAGATGCTGGACTAGATTCCGTCCTTGATATTAAAGGAACTGTACGCATTTGATAGAGTAGAATGGAGAAATATATTGCAAGCTCTATGTGACATATAATGGCGAAATAAGACAATAAAAGAATGAATGGATATGAATTGTAATGTCATTAGGAATGTTCCCACTATCACAAATTTCCCAAGGCCTCAATGTTCATCATGTTTGGTTCAGGTTCCTAACTTTCTTGCATGTAACCAAATTAAAGAATGAAATTGTTCTACTGAGAATGCAACAAGACCAGGCTGCATTGGAGACTTTTTGCAGCAGAACATCTAGAAGGAAGACCAAGAAAGAGATGGATTAATGGTGCAGCAGAAACCTGCAAAAGATGAACAAATCCATCACACAAGCCACCTGAGAAGTGCAAGACATTTGGAAAATCACTACGACACTGGGCTACAACCTGGTGTCAGTGAGAGAACAAAAGACAGACCAAACAATGGAGCCGCACACTCAACCGGCCTTCAGTGCATGAGCCAAAACAATATAACCAACCCCTTTGCCACAGACAGCCCTTTCTATATTACGTACACAAACGTACCTCAAAATCATAGAAGGCAGAAAACACTTTCTACATAGGACAAAGTTGGATAGCACAGGCAGAAGTCACTATCAGAAATGTGTATGCGATTGACAAGACAGTACATGGTGAGGAAAGGATGACAGTGAATCCCAGCAAAGCAGCCCTATATTGAATGATAGTTACTATTGACAGAGGGTGTGGAAGCAGCTGTGCAAGAATTAATCAATGACAATTCACACCAAGCAAATTTTAATCAGGCTGCAACTGGCACTATATGTATGGTTAACTCTTCATAAGCTAGTGAGGAGGAGGACGGAACACCTATGGCAATGTTCCAAGTGCAGTGATGTCAATTCTTAATCTATTCATTTGATATTTGTACTTTTCACACTTAGAATGCAAACAGAATTATAGCGATTCCTTCTGATGATGGTAACTGATATGCACCCACACTGTGTGCACAGTTCACATGAAATACTAACAAATATGTTTGATATTTGTGTTCCTTTATTACAACCCAGCCAAGTCAACACTGACTTTAGATTCTAACAATAACTGATCTCACCCACACTGTACAGTTCCCATGAAATACTTGCAAATATGTTTGAAATTTGTGATCCTTTATCACAACCTAGCCAAGTCATTGTCGGTTTTAGATTTTAACAATTCACTAATGAGTGAACAATTTGTTTTGAAACAGTCTGAACAGTAAAAGCCTTCTAAAAGATGGCATAGGCGATGACATTTCTTTAAAATCTGAACTATCTAAATGTTGAGTATTCTATATATAGACGTGAAAGAATAAATGAGAGAGAAATATTATGTATGGGTTACCCATCATTTATTTCAAATATTATCTTTCAACAAATGACTGAAAATATAATTTTTGTGTAATAAACATAAATGCCATCACTGACTGTAGTGAAAGATAGAAGTTTTCTAAATGATGACTTTAAACTGTACTTTGTTTACTTTATCCTTCATCAGAAATAGTTACTGGGGTTTGAAGTTCTGAAAGACTTGTAAAATAACGACAATCCATCATTAACAAACAAAATAATATGTTTTATTATACATAAACTTCTTAGAGCCCACCGGCTGTAAATTTGACAGTGGAAAGTTTTAGTTGTTCATCCACTTATGGACTTTGGTCTTGTTCCAGAATTTGAGTTTTTTTATTCTTCTTTTTTAAAAAGGGCTGGCTTTTTTATCTGTATGCAGAATGTTGGTTACTTGCTTCTTAAGCAGAGGTACTCCGACTTCAAAGGAAATGCCCCTAATCAGCCGCTTTCCATGTCATGCTTGTTATAAGGACAGAGGATCTTCCCAAATGGGAGCCTAAACCCACAGAAGATAAAAAAAAATAATGAGAATTCCAGCATGTATATTATCTAGAGTAAAAGCTCCCCCATTTGTAAACGTCTGGAATCTCTGGTGAAAGACATAATAATCTATGAATCAGAGTAACCCACAGCAAAACTCTGGTGTTACATTCCGTAACTTGGAATGTCCAAATTCACAATACGTGCACACATTCTGGATACAACTGTGCCAGACTTTGATAAGCTCTGGATAATATTTCTGTAGCGTAAGACATGCGAAAAAACAGAAATAACTAACAATAAACTAATAATCTTCAAATACAAATAAGGAGTTTGAAATGAGAAGGCCCAAATCTGCACACATTAAAAAAAAAAAATAATCCCAGCTATGTAGAATATAAAAATGATCATTTCAAACAACTGAAACATAAAAATAACCATCTTAAACCACAAAAAAATATAAAACAACCATCTCAAGTAACACAGAATAAACAAATGACCACTTTAAACCACAAAAAGTTCATAGCGGCAAAGGCAAAATACTTTGAAATATGAAACTGGATGCAAACTTAAATTAGCTGGATACAACATAAAACATTCATTCTGATTATAAACAGTACAGATCTGTATTAAATACCTAGTATTTGAAATGACAGAACAAAACTTAAATGCAACAGCAAACTAAGAACTGCATTGTAAGAATTGCAGTGAAATAAACACGTCACAGACAACATACTAAACATCATAATAATATGGATGAACAAAAATATGTTATTTAATTAGCTAAACTTTTCCTACTCTGAAAAATATTTTGTGATTACTGATAATAATAATCACTATCATGTACCCTGCCAAATGGTATAGGCATTCATGTCTCTGTATGAGAGCTTCCCAAAGTTTTCATGATGGTGAAACAATTTTGAGACAAACGTAATTTTACAACACAGTAGTTCAGCCTACTAGCAAACCAGAGGTTAAACTAAACCCTTAGAAGAACCACTAATACACACATAAATTGTTTAATGATTTATATTTGTGCAATACACCTTTCGCACTTGCAGCTGATACAGCATTTCATGATACACCAAGAAAAGCTCTGTTTTTGATATTCTGGATCAATTTGTTTTCTTGAATTTCCTTCGTACCTTTATGTTACATAATTAAGCATTATTTACCTCAGTCTGCTGATCTTTTGGTCACCACAATGTTCTTCAATTCCTTTCTTCTCCTCACATGACCAAAGAGCTCTGTTCCTCTCATTTGTATAGCTGTGTATAATAGTTTTTTTTCATGTAAATGTTGGTAGCTATTCTGACTGTCCAAGGTCTTCGCCATACCACCTTCTGCAATCTTTTTCTAATGTGCTCATTCACATTCCAAGATTTGATACCATGCTAGCAACATTTCTCTGTTGTAAATGTGGATAAAGAAGACAATAGATTGCACAATTTATTGCCAGGCATGTTTGAAATTAGTCATTTTCGTTTACAAAGCAAGCAGAGTTCAAAAGGTGGCCCACAATGGACAAGTGTCATCTCAGTCATGTTTGTTAAATTATTTTTTATGCCACTGTTTTTAATTCTCTTTTTTTTTTTTATTCTGTACTTCTCCATTTTATTCAACAGTGTGGTATATACCTGACAAAATACAGTGAAATATGCCTGCCAGTAGACTGTGCAATCTACTGTTTTGTGATTTCTTTGCTCACATCAGAAACTTCGATACACAAGATTTATTTTTTGAAATGCAGCTTTTGATTGTTCTGCTCTCAACTTAATTATGCACCTCTCATTTAATATGACTGCCCATTCCCACATATTTTAATTTAATGATTTATTAACAGCAGCCTAATTAATAACTGTCTATTTTGATGGATCCAAGAGAATTTTACAAGCTTGTCCAGAGAACAAAGTCTGGAAGGCATCCTCAAACTTGGACATAGGAAATCTATGTGATATCACTGCTTTCACATCAATTTTGCCTTCAACAACCAACTTCTCGATCTCTTCCCAGGTATGAAAGATGAGCCTGCCATGGACAGTCTTTAGCGTCAAGGCCTTGAAAACTAGAAAGACAACAATTATTTGTTAATTGGAGTGACATTAATTTTCTCAGTTGTAATATTAGTGTGGCTCTGTGGTTAAGAGGTTAGTGATATTTTTTTTTACAATGCAACCCTCAAAGTTTACCAGGGTTTGACTCCAGCGGTTGGTGGTATTAGGGGGTGGGGGGGGGGGGGAGAGGGGAGACAGTTTTCATGGCTCTCTCTTTTTTTCTTCTTAGCATTCACCGGCTGTAAACTTGGACTGAACATTTTGGTTGTTCTACCACTTTTAGACTGACGCAAGTCAGTTAAACAGATCTGGCTTACTTGATTGCAGACTGCTGACTCCACACCTTCCAGGTAGATGTGTACTCCGACATCAAAGGAGACTTCTTCTCCTTCTTCGCCTTCACCAGCTGTACACTCCAGCGGAAAGTTCTGGTTGCTCGTCCACTAGTGAACTGCAGTCCTGCTCCAGAACCTGAGTGTTGCGTTTGCATCAGTTTTACAGATCTCATTCTCTTGAATACAGACTGTTGGTTCCTTGCCTCTCCGATAGATGCACTCCGACTTCAAAGGAAGCTCCCCAATTAGTCAACTCTTATGACATGCTTTTGGGGAGGCAGTGAGTCAATTCTTGTTTTTCCCATAATGGGGCCCCGGAACCCACACGAGGGTCAAAGGAGACTGATAACAGTAATGTCCAGGCCTTTTTGCAAAATAGCAGAGTGAAAGATCTTCAAACTCTGCTGATGCTGCATAAGACTCTGGGTTTGCCCTGAGCTGAGATGATCAATTCTGAGAGAGAAGTGTTCAAGAATCCCATATTTACCACAGACCATGTAATAACGAAAGTAAGGTAAAGATCCCAGGTGGACAGGCAATAGTACTAGCCTCTGTGTTACTATTGCTTCTTCACCAAGTTTCTTATTCTTCTTGTGCATTCGCTCTCAAATGGGAGGTTCACAGCTAGGCTGTGATGTCTGCATCTTTCAGCCCAACGCACATCCAATTTCAACAAATCGTTAATTAGCTGCGTTTTACGTTCTGCTCGTTAAGAAGCGGTGGGTGTGTTCCACACCCCCTCCCTCCTAAAAAGCAAATAATGAAATCCTGGGACCCACACACTGGGATCTCTTCGAACAATAACTTACCAATATCTTGCAAAACATTTTCAACATGCAAAGGTTGTTTTGGAAGTCCAACCAGGCCAATGTGACCACCTTTTCGAAGTAAGGAAAAGCTTGAGTTCACGACAGCAGACACTCCACTGCACTCGCAAATGCGATCTATGCCTACACTATTGGTTAGTTTCATGACGAACTGAAAGATAAAAATTTGTCAATTTTATGAAAATTAGAGAGATTAATTTTTAAAAAAAATTAAAATGAAAATTATATTCATTTCATTGTAAGAATTTTGTTTTTAAATGAACTGGTGAAATTTCTGTATTATTTTTTTCTTCGCATTTCTGGCTGTAAACTCAAGCAGAAAGTATATTAACTGTTCACTTCTGGACTTTAATCTTTACATAAATCTGAAGAGATTTTCTGCAGAAAAAGTGATGTTACTTCAGACCTGCAGAAAAATACTCCAACCAAAGAATCTAATAAAAATTTACCCCCACCCCAAAAAAAATTTTTCAAACAAAAAGGAAGAAAAAGGAAGATATTACAACAGATCTGATGAAATGCGCTGAACAATATATATGACGTTTCATTAAAATATATACATATAATGTTTTATCAGTAACTAATATAATTTTTACTTTATAAAAATTGTTACCTCTTTTAAATCAGTATTCTTCACATTCACAGTAATGTCAGCACCAAACTTTCTTGCTAATTCAAGTTTAGCATCCTCAACATCCGTTGCCACGACCCTTAACACACAAAAAAAATGTTTATCAGTACATGTACTTAATTTATACAGATTCATATGTTTAACGAGGTCATCCAAATGTTGAATTAAGAATCGACATCACAGCATTCGGGACACTCCCTTAAGTGCTCAGTCCCCATATTCAGCAGCAAGCGAAGAGTTCCAACTCCGATGGTACCAGTAACCGTCTGATTGTATATCCATCTCATCCTTCTATTGAGTGTTAAGCGTCGGCCAGATCCCCTGGTAACTCTTCGCAGCGCCATTCTCCTCAAACCGTAATGATCTATCTGCTATTCCTCACTGTTCACCCGTTCCCAAAGGGCCCTCACAATATCTAACTTGTCATACATCAATTCATCACCAAGTGGTGCAGAACCAGCCAGTCTATCTGCCTGCTCATTTCCCAACACACCAGCATGAACTGGAGAAAATATCCAAAGGATGCTAACCCCCCGGGACCTCTGAAGTGATGCTTGCCACACTGCACAATGCATGCCTGTTTTCACCTTCCTCAACATGCTCTGTAAGACAGTTACAATCACGGCATGTGTGTACAGCTGATTCTCAAGCCAGCGGAAGGCAGCAGAGACTGCCTCCACCTCCATTCTCAAACTAGACGTTGTGATATCATATGCAAGGCTTTGCTGCCCGGGTAATTCAGAGAAGCCACCAAACTCACACCTCTGGTTGGATCCAATGATATTTTCCAAAGTTTTCTGCAGTGGCTAGTTTGCATTTAAGTCTTCAGATGAATAAAAAAGATAAAAATAGCATTGACTGGGGTTTTCCCGTGAACCAAATAGCTTTTTTAAAAGCCAAGTTGACGCAAAATGTTCCTATAAGCCTCGATGATATAGACCAAAGATTTAGGGCACGAGTCACCAGAACCATTTTTTTTTAAGACACAAGGGATTGTTTTTAATTTAATGCTTCACTGTGTTTGTGCTTATTGATTAATCCCTTTATAAATTTCGGATACATTTATTAGTGACTTGCAGAACAATTTTTAAAGGAATGACCATGGGGGTCACAACCCATCTTTTTAGCATTTCTGGTGCGACAGGGTTTAAGATGAACAGGTTGACTTCATTGCATCTGGTTTTATCTCATAAGGCTCAGTCTCTGCAGAGTGGTTGGTCATTCATGAAAGGGTACACAAGCATGAAATCTGTATCTACAGCAAATACCCTAAGAAAACTCCTAAACACTGCACTAGCAAACTAAAAGGCAGAGTCCAAAATTAAACCAAGAGCCTTAGAAGCATGAGGCAAATGGCTAAACCACTGCCCCAAGGAGACTGTCATCATGTGCCTTTATTAGGGTTTCCCCTAATGAACCAACAAAAGCCCTCTGAAGTAGTTATGTTGAAATATTGGCTCACATTGGTCTAGGCGGAATCCCGCGGTTCCCAATAAACATCCAACCTACTTCAGGAGTGAGGCGACACAAATTATGGCTCTACAGAATTAATAACTCCTAGGCGCAACTTGGTCTGACATCCTCACTACTTAATAGCCCCCTGTCTGGATAGCAAACCTACCACCGTCAAATGATAACATGTAAAGAATCTGACAAGACATGAATACTATCACAAACACTCTTCTCTATAAGAACAGGAAATAATCATAATAATAACCACTGTGTAATGAACCTAACATACGTAAAGACTCAAAGTCAACTTCACTAAACAGCCAAATAAGTGACACCATAGAGTCTATCTGGACAGATCTGACAGCTACCAGGGGTGCCTCAATACAGTGACCCAGTTTCAAAACAATTTAATGCAATGCTTTTTAGTCACATTTTATGTTAGATATAGCAACTCTTGCATTAAAAATGACTGCTTGTATGATACCTTTTTGCACCCAATGCCTTTGAGACTGCTTGTGCCATCAAGCCCACTGGGCCACTTCCAATCACCAGTACATCTTGACCTTCAACATTTAATCTTTCTATCATATTATGGGCTACTCCTAGTGGTTCCAACAAGGCAATCTGCTCAGGATCTGCAAGTGACCACATACACAAAATATATTAGAAAGGTGTGAAAAGTACATCTTATATCATGTTACTTTTTTATTTAAAAATTATTTTATTCATTAGTAGCTTTTACCAGATTTAAAGTGCCAGCTGGTGCTGCAGACTCAGAAGTTCAACAAATGATTCATGACAATTCTCGCCCAAGTGATGTGATTATCTATACAGATAGCTCTGTGTTGAGGGGCAGACAGAGCATGGGGTTTCAAAGCAAAAGAAAATAGACGTTACCTAGTGCAGCAAAGCTTTGCATATGATATCACAATTCCTAGTTTGAGAATGGAAGTGGAAGCAGTCTCTGCTGCCTTCTGCTGACTTGAGAATCAGCTGTACACACATGCTGGTGAAGATGGGGACTGAGCACTTGTGGGCGTGTCCTGAGTACGGTGGTGATGATTCCTAATTCAATATTCAACATTTAGCTTTAAAGTGTAAGTATCAGTTTTATTAGCAGGAAATTGTCACAATTATGGGCTTTTACTGCTATTTTGTTTTGTATACACAATTCAATATAAATTTAGTAGTTTTTAAAAAACTAGTCACAAAATTTGCCTTTGATTTGTTTTCTCCCGCAAAAAGTAGCAGCACTAATGGTGTAGAAAAGAGCTAGTCAATGAATCTCATCTAACTAATATGTTTTCATTATATTACAGCATCAGCTGTAGATTTAGATTATATCTCCTACTCAGGCCTGTCAAATTAAAACACACATTTTGTGAAAACTTATAAGATTGCTTAAAACAATGTTAACTTGCGCTCTAATAATTTTAATGCCCAGTGCTTGCCATTTTTTTCTTCAGGCCTCTAATGTATTGAGTGATAATGTTACAGTTACAGTTAACATTAGCAACATAAATTAGTCACATGGGTCTGCTTTTAAACTTGTTCACCCCTTTTACGTCTTGTTTTTGTAATCATTTTGTCCATCTAATTCATACATAAAACACAAGCCCTAAACCCTACAATACGTTATTCCAGTGCTGCCTTTGAGAATATTACACACTGAGTCCTCAGTTTCTTTCTACATGTACTGGGCATCTAAACGAAATTTGAAAATAAAGTCAATGTTTTGTAATTGTACACTTAACTCTTTCAGTCCCAAGTAACGCCTCATGTTTTAATGAATTTACCTCATGATTTTCACTCACAGAATAATGTTCTCTCTTATTTTTCATATTTTGTCAAAACATACTAAAGAAATCTGACTTCCCCATTAGTCACTAACTCTGGGTATATTGCCACTTTGAAAGTAATGCATTCCTGATTTTTCAAAATAGTTTGGTTTTTTTTAAACATTTATTTTATTGTCTTAAGTGAATACAACTGTGTCATCACATTTATAGCACATTTCTTAAAAAACATACAAAGTACTTGCCCAAATCAGATTTCAGTCTGTACAAATATCTCTCTGGAACTATAGAATACTCTGAGCAGCCACCATGTTCTGTCTTCTTGCCATGTCCATACTGGCCCATGTTAATACATATAGCACCATCTTCATGGAGGCACTGGTAGCACTCTCCACAAAAGAAATGATTTTCCACTCCAACTTTTGTGCCAATTGGAATGTCTGTGTTAGGTCCACGCTTGACAACTGTTCCAGCGCATTCATGGCCAGGTATGAAAGGCACTGTTGCAATAACTCTGAAAACAAAAAAAAATACAGCACGTCTTATTATGTTTTCATCTTCAAATCCTAGCCAGGAGCAGATGTTACTAATCTAATCCACTAAATCTAATCTCGGGTCGGTGGGGTTCCCTTTAAATAAGGATTACTTGGCTTTTTTTAACATCATTCATGATGGGCAATAGAAGTTCATCACCTTGAAGTTTCCTTCAAAGTCAAAGTGAATCTGCATGAAAGGCGAGGGACCAACAGGCTGCATACAAATAAACAAGTTCTGTAAAATGGGTGTGCTTGCAAAAATCAGCTCTGGAGCAAGACCACAAGTCCAGAAATGGATGAATAACCAGAACTTTAAGACAGAGAAGAATGTATTTGTAATTGTACAATCAAATTCCGGGTCATGCATAGGTCAGTCTGTGTGAAACTAGTAATCAATGGTTGGAATATAAAAGAAAAATTTGAAGATGCATACACAAAAGTGGAATCAATAACAGCTTCAATTTTTATGAAACAGTAAAAAATAAAATATACCTGGCAACATTATCCCATTTGTAGAGAGCGATGTCCGAGCCACATATTGCCACAGCATCAACTTTAATCAGAACCTCCCCATCCTTTGGTTCAGGTACGGGTATTTCAACATAGGAGTATGAAGGACCTTCTGTCTGCTTCACCAAAGCCTTCATGGTCTTAGGGATATTATATTCTGCCATTGCTACTTCAGTTTATAGTGAGTAACTTGTCTCCTGCAAAATTCAAAATAAACCATAGGTATAAAATAAAATGCTTTAAAATTTTAGGTTACTTTTCACCATCATGATCAGGTAGCAGGTCCTTTGCAGAACATCGCTCTCATAACGGCCCGTCTGAAAGAAACTCGGTCTCTCACCAGCTCTTTTGCCTTGTGCACTTTCATATCCAAGGATTCACTTACATCCTGTGCCTATCTTTGTTTTAGTCGGCCCCTGCCTTTCCTTCCTGGTACCATGCCTTCTGCTATTATTTTTTCCAATCTGCTGTGGTGACATATGGGCAAAATATTTCAGCTTCTGAGACAAGATGCTGTTTATCAGCTAATCTTCCTTAATGTTCAGATCTTTCAGAACTTCATTCTTTTTCCATGGTATTCTGAGAATCTTTCTACAGCATTTTAGTTTAAAAGCCTCCATTTTCTTCCTTAAGAACTGGGAGATAGTCCACAATTCACATATAATTTCTCTCGGAGATAGTCCACAATTCACATATAATTTCTCTCGGAGATAGTCCACAATTCACATATAATTTCTCTCGGAGATAGTCCACAATTCACATATAATTTCTCTCGGAGATGGTCCACAATTCACATATAATTTCTCAGAGATAGTCCACAATTCACATATAATTTCTCTCGGAGATAGTCCACAATTCACATATAATTTCTCTGATCAGTTTAGTTTTCCTTAGTTTCTAGCTAGGTTATTTAATTTTTTTGTTCTACCATTAATTTTCTGCATTTTGCTCAGAAATCAAATTCCCAGTTTAGTGATGCCCCCCCCCCCCCTTTTTTTCCCCCAACTGCCCTTCTAATATCAAATGCAGAAGAAGTATACTTTCTAAAAATATCAGAAAAATCATCCACATGTCAGTTAAGGTTAGTTCTCTGAGTTGTTTCTACTATCATTAGGTTTTAAAAGCATAATATTTATTATTTTATCAACTATGTGTAATTTTATTAACATATATTTAGCTGTAACTAGAAAACCTTATATATTGATGGACTGTAACACTTTTAGTAGTTTTAAGCATCAGTATGATATTGTCACAAGAATAACAGAATCAAAATTCACTGCTTGCAGAAATAAGTAGCTCTGTGCTGGGTAACCACTTGCAGACAGCTTTCATTATCTTCTCAAGAGATTATATCTAAGACCAGACGTGAACTTTGTCACAGATAAGCAGAACCACCAAAAGCTGCATGTTAAAATCGTGTGTAAACATGTGTCAAGGACATTAACACTGCTGCTGTTAGAATTAAACCGATAAAGAGATAATAATTGAAAACTACTACTTTTCCCTTGTGGGTTGCGGGGCCTCGTTGTGGAACAAACAAAAAGAATAGACCCATGTCTCCTAACAAACATTTCATAAGAGTCAACTAATTAGGGATGTTTCCTTCAAAGTCAGAGTGCATTTGCCTGAGAGGCGAGGATTCAACACAGTGCATATCCCTGTGTGGGTTCTGGGGCCTCATTGTGGGGAAACATGAATAGACCCACTACCTACCCAACAAGCATGTTGTAAGATGTGACTAACTGGAGGGCTTCCTTCAAAGTTGGAGTGCATCTGCCTGAGAGGCAAGGAACAAACAGTCTGCATACAAATATCAAGATCTGTAAAATGGATGCACACACAAAAGTAAGGTCCTGGAACAAAGCCAAAGTCCAGCCAGGTCTTTTCACCGGTGTTTAAAGATGGTGAGCACAAATAATGGAGATAAATGGTCGTAAACCACGAGGCAGAACAAGAAGAACATAGAGAGATAATATCCAGACAGACCTGCAAACACTCAGTGTCATCAATTGGAAAGATAAGGCCAACCAGAGAGATGAATGAAGGCGGGTGATATCTGCAGCAATAAATCTCAAGGGCTGAGAATGCTGAAGAGGAAGAAGAAGATGAACGCAAACAACAAACAATACTCTGCAAACAAATAAGCCAGATCTGTAAAGTGGATGCAAAACTCAGGTTCTAGAACAATACACAGTCTAGGAGTTGATAACAACAAGAACTTTTCACCAGAGTTTACAGCCAGTGAACATGAAGAAAAATGAAAACTGCTTCTTCAGATCTTTTTCTTCTACTACACCTGCCTTTAAGAAGACAGTTGGCATGTTGAGTTGTGGTCTACAGCTGGGTTGTGATATCTGCACCATTCAGCTCAACACGTCTGCCCTTAAGCAGAAATAATCAAAGTAGTCAAAGCAGTAGTAGGCAGGATTACTTACTAGTTATCAGTAATATAATAATAGGGATGAAAATTAAATACAAATCAAAAACTAATAGTAGTGATGATGGTAGCAGTAGTAGTAGGAGAAGAATTAATATTATAAGTAGTAGCAGTAGTAGAAGCAGCAGAGCAGAGTAGCACTAGCATAAATTAATAAAAGAAAGGAGTTAAGTAGTAGTAGTAGTAGTTCAAATATAGTCACAGTAACAATAGGAGTACTTAACAGTAATTAAAGTAATTAATACTATTTTTTTTTTACAATTTAATAAAGGCAAAGTAATATATTATTAATAAAATTAATCAAATACAATGACAAATAATAATAGCGATGATGGTTGTAGCATTAGCAATAATAATGGTGGTAGCTATAAACTTACTTAGCAGCAGCAGTAGAGCTTGTGCTGTTACTGTAGATGTAGTGACTAGTGGTTAGAGTTAAATATGAATTAGTTACGATAGTCACAGTGCCAGCAGCGGCAGTGGGCAACAGTATCGCAAAGTCTTTACTAAAGAAAATAGTAATATTTCAATCAATCATCAACAACACAGCACAGCAAAGCACTGATAATAATGATCAATGGACATTATTTATACTAATTATAATTAATAGTAATTATACAGCTCATTGACACATTCTTACCTAAAGTTACTTAAGTTTCTTTAATTAAAAAAAAATGAAAAACACGACCACTGTCACAAATAAAATCAAACGCCAATTTGAAATTATTATAATATTAATAGCATAAAATTTCAAATGAAAATAAGCACTTTCTTACTTAAAACAAGCCGTTCAGTTGAAGACTACCAAGAGAAGTTAGTTACACTTACAGTTTAAAAATTAGGTCTTAAATAAATATGCGAACATCTGATAAAACGAACAGCCCAAATCTGGACAGACACAAACTACGATGACATTTAATCAAGTATCCACTGCACTGACCCAGAATGATATCGACGCCGGATCGTGCAAAACTTCGCTGACTCGTTATCAGCTCGTACATTGATCGCAGATAACACAGACAATTTAGGTGAACTGTTGTACGTATACACAACTTGAAGCATACCTGACAAGGACAGTGCAAGGTTCATATATTAAATGATTTGATCGAACATCGAGTGATGGATGGTTAGACTTAACGACTTCACGTGGCAAAAGTGAAAGCCGCTTAACTCTTCTTATACGACGGATGTACTACAGAGGCAGACACTACTAGTTCTGACCAGTTTTGCATTAACTCATTCTTCTGTTTTGTTAGCGTTCACCGGCTGTTAACTCCGGCTGAGAGTTCTGTCGTTCGTCCACAGTCTTATTCCAGAACATGAGTTTTATACGCACATCCGTTTTACAACTCTGGCTTACTTATATGCAAACTGTGGGTTCCCCACCCCTCAAGAAAATACGCTCCAACTTCAGAAGAAAAAATCCATAATTAGTCGCCTTTTACCACATGCTTGTTAGGGAGGCAGGGGGTCTACTCCCCCCTCCCCCCTCCTCCAGCCAACACCACCCAAACGGGGCCTTGAAACCACATTGGCAGTTTTAACTCATTCAATATTTCTTACCCACACAGGACTGCAGGTTACGTCTGGCTAGTATAGCCATTACAGGTGCCCTAATTATAACTTGAGGGTTAAGTGGGGTATCTGGGGTCTGCCTTGATGGTATGCCATCCAAATTGAGATTTTGTTTTACTCCCAAGATGGTATGGTCCCCCTTTAGAAAGCATCACGGAATGGACGGACCGATAGATCGATCAAACTCATGCAGTATAAAGCAACTCACCATGCGTTTACTGGCTGCTCTCTAATTATTTGGCTTGTCATAAATTGTTTTTATTCCTCCATGAAATGTTTACTTACTGTGTTAGGTGTAGCGAGGAAAGATCAACTTATGAACGATGATATAGAAGAGGAGAAGTGGCACAGAACCATTACTGAACTTTATAAGTAGACAACAAATCAAATGGTTTGACCATGTAACAAGACTGGCCTTATACGGAGCATCACAGAAAACAATGTTATACAGTTATAACGGTAACAGATCCAGAGGTCGATTACGCAGAACACGGACCGCATAAATATCCGAGACACTGACAAGTGAGTAGAGAAAAGAAGAAGAGGAAGAAGATTCAAGCGTATTTAATTTAGTCCGTCCTGGTTTGGGTTACAGGGCCCTATGGTAGAAGGGAGATTAGGGGGGGGGGGAGAGACAAGAATAGACCCACCTCCTTTCCAGTCAGCATGTCGTAAGAGTCGACTAATTGGGGGCATCCTTCGAAGTCGGAGTGCATTTGCCTTAGAACCAAGGAACCCGCATACAGATATATAAAACGGATGTGCGCGCCACACTCAGGTTTTGGAAGAAGCCTGAAGTCCAGAGGTGGACGAACAACCAGAAATTTACGCCGCAGTTTACAGCCGGTGAGCGCGAAGAAAAGAATTTTATTCCATTTCGTCTCAGTGTTTACTTTTAACTCTTTTTGCCCTGTAGTGTTATTGTATGGACTTTTTAACCAGATCTCATATACTTAAGCTGGCGTGCCGAAACTAGGCGGCTCAGATAGCTTGAACCTGCTAACCCTAACAGATTATAAGGGGGCTGAGGGTCCCAACAGATCCCAACCCCTATTTTCTTTGTGTCGGCACCTCTGCAACATAGATGAAGTGCTTAGGGTAGAATGAATTAAATGATTAATATCTACCTGGTGCTGAAAGAGTTAACATAGT